GGCAATCATGTTTGCGAGATCAAAACCAGTTCATCATATAGAATGTGAACACCTAGAATGTGAACGATAGACAAATCTCATAAATGTTAACATATTGCACCTTGGTGCCCTGCGCATTCGTCGAGCTCATCGCACGCCATTCCAGAAGGGCACACTGCATCCCATCAGCAATCGTGAGGCATCCGAGCCCTCCGTTCCTCTCCAACAATAGACACTTCTCCTCGTCGCGGAGCAACTTGAGCGGCGGACCATCCACACACGTACTGACATGAGCGATGATATGATGACGACGAGAATTCACAGTGGGCAATGCCCACTGGGCATATGCAGACGCACTCATATAACCGCCACTCTAATAGAACGAGTGTATCACTAAAGTATATATAAAGATAACAAAGATTGTCTATTATAGACATTGCTGTAGCTGTAGCTGTTGTTGTTGCTGCTGCGGTTGTTATTGTTGTTGTTATTGTTGTTGTTATTGCTGCTGCTCTTGTTATTGCGGTAGTTGCTGTTGTACGCAACTTTTATCCCTCGCAAGTTGCGAGGGAGCTCGAAGGATCAATGAGCGTGAAACTCATTTGTTACACTCTCAACATATACCTTAACTCCGTTTGTACCCATCACAGCCTGTGATTCACAGGCAGTGACCCATCGTTTTATACGCGATGCTTAAGCTTAAAGAATGATAACCGGGAGGCCCAGAGGATGGTCCATGATAAAAGCGGCGCAGAATAGCGGGGGGGGTGACGAATTGAGAGCACCCCTTACCGACATGCTGGGCAGTGGTAAGGATGATAGACGTGAACAGGTCACGCTTTGTCATCGCACTCGCTGAGAGGATGTAAGAACATTGCCCTGAGAGCAGTGGCCGCTCGGTCCCAGTCTCGGTCTGGCATGAACGGCATGTACACCAGTAAGTTGCTGGCAGGAACCCCCACTGCACGCTTAGTTCGCTTCAGTGAATCACTGAATGGGGCTATTTGTGCAAGTGCATGTATGGAGGCGCGCGCAAAAAAACCCGCGCGCCCAAAACCGGTTAGTTAGATGCTCGCTCCTAGTTGGGTCGTAGCCGAATTTTAGGATTGCTGAGTGGATTGTGGAGGGTAAGCGGGCCGAGGGATCGCTGGAGGAACTCAATATATCCCATTCCAAGAAGTGCCTACGGGCGGACTGCTTAGCCCACGTTCGGACAACCGGGCGAGACGAAGCCGTTTTAAAATGTGTTAAAACGGCCGATATCGGATTTTCTCACGAGCATAATCGTCCGTTGTCTCGTCAGTGCCAGTGCAGCACGAATAGATATGATGTTACCGCCTTACAGCCAAGACTCCTCCTATTCCTCCCTCATGGAGTAAGCCTTGCCCTCATCATCCTTTCCCGCTCCTCATACCACTCCTCCCTGAACACTCCTCAGATACCTCCGTCGTATGTTCTACAAGAAGCAGATGGATTTGGAATACACCTTCTCTCAAATGGTCTACCTCTGTATATCCCCGAGGAAGGTTTGTCAACTGACCATATACAGGTATCATAAAAAAGGTCCCTAACACCATGGCGTTTTGCCAGGCATCAGACCAAGGGTCGGTGGTCCAGAGACGATCCAGCGTTCGTCGTCATCCAGGTGAAATCATTCGCACCATAGTAGAGGCCAGTGGATAGTCTCAGATCCTCTTCCTGGCAGTATCAGGCATAGCTTATGGTGTGTGTTTTTCTCACACTTTCCTTCAAGTGTTGAGAGTCCTCCTCATCGGCATAGTCCTACACT